ATTGGCAGGTCTATGCTGCCCTCTGCTGGACAACCCTGACCTGCAACACACCTCTTCACTTCGGTTCTCTTGTGTTGTGACTTGAGGAACTAATTCATGTATTAAAAAGTCAAACAGCTAAATAACTGTTCTAAATAATTATCACAAAGTAAGTGCAAGTGTATTTCACTGACCCATACATGGAACACTCACCCTCCAGATGCCCACCATGAAGCCCGGTGACAGATGCATCAGCTTCATCAGTCGGTCTTTGCCGAGGAACCGACCATGCTGACACTTCATGTCCAGCTTTAAAATCAGAGAGCGCCAGCTGGGCCTGATGGAGAGGAAGAGGAGGGAGCAGTGAAGGTGGAAGAAGGGATGAGGCGGCGTAAAGGAGAAGTGTATCTTACTTCCTGACACCGGGGCTCTTCAGCGTCTCCTTCCGGACTCCGTGCAGCTGGATGTTCCTGATGTTGTGGTACTCAGGGAAGCTGCCTCCACTCCAGCGGACGATCACAGAGGACTCGAAGAAGTACACCCGGCTCTGTTCCAGCGTGTTCTCCCGTCCCCAACAGTCGCACACCGTCAGCTCCCAAGGATTAAGAGAGAGATAGGCCTGATGGAGAGAAGAGCATAGGGATTGCAGGTGAAAGGTTTATGGTAGAAGGGAAGGGGTCACGGTGGGGGAGAGAGGGAGGGAGAGGGAGGGGGGGCGGAGATCTGTGTCTGTGCGTATATAAGAGTGATATATTCTTTACTTCTCTGAAACCTTAGAGGCTCTTCAGGTTCTCTCCGGATCTCTCGTCGCATGTTCTGTTAACGAGTAGTCATAGATGTTTGTTGGTCTGCAGTGGAAAGTTGCTTCCATCGAAGTTATCCAGCTGGTAACTGTATCTTCAACTAGAGGCTCTGTACGAGAAAGTACTATATTCTGAACGCTCCCTTTGGCTGGTAGCAACGTGTCTCCATCACTTGCACGTCCACACCAATTTCAGTCGAACACCGTCAGCTCCCAGCTCACATTCAGGTTCCTACTTATTAAGAGGATTACCGCACATTAAAGAACCACATCTTACAACATCATACTAACCATTAATGGGTGGGTTTAAATAGCGGTTTCAACTATAACCTTATTGAAACAGTGATGACATGCCGTGTTCATGATTCACGAGCCTTTTTAGATCTCAATGA